TATTTTTATTTGGTTATATGGGTAGATGTCTCTATTATACTTTATTTATTTATTTTTAGAACTCAGATATACTTGATAAACACAACATATTAGCTGAAATTCTAGCAATCAATTCTAGCAGTTTTCAATTTTCAGGGAAAAGATCATTACAGCACTGATATTAAGTATTTAATGCAAACATAAAGATATAAATAACTCGAATGAAATATGAAAGAAACAGAGGTTGAATAGAAACTGGTATTTCATATGACTCATTTAATGTTAACTGGACAGCAAACCAGTTCTGCCTGATTAATTTCATGGTTCTTAGAAGGGGAGCTAGGGTTGGTATGGATATCAAAAGGAATTGCAGTTAATAAGTAAATGAGACAAGTCAAAAGTTCAAGTAAATGATTAACTGTAAAGCGCTGATAACTTTAAACTAATAATAATAAAAAAAAACTAGTTAAAGAATAAGAAAAAAACAACATAATGACAATCAGAGATAAAAAAAGGCAATAAGGTACTTACGGAAACTAAGTGAGGAGATGACAAACTAAGAGGGAGAGAGATCCAAAGAGAGGGAGGAGGCGCTCAGTAGATACTTATTAAACTGATGGATGGAGAAAGTGAAGAGCAAACTCGAAAACTGAGTGGTAGACAGTTTTAAAGATGAAAATACATGCATATATATATATATATATATATATATATATATATATATATATATATATATATATATACATATATATATATATATATATATATATATATATATATATATATATATATATATATATATATATATATGTATACATATATATATATATATATATATATATATATATATATATATATATATATATATATATATATATACATATATATATATATGTATACATATATATATATATATATATATGTATACATATATATATATATATATATATATATATATATATATATATATATATATATATATATATATATGCTATACCTACAGTCATGCACACAGAAACCTATGTGTGTGTGTGTGTGTAAGAAAGAAAGAAAGAGAGAGAGAGAGAGAGAGAGAGAGAGAGAGAGAGAGAGAGAGAGAGAGAGAGAGAGAGAGAGAGAGAGAGAGAGAGAGAGAGTTAAAGAGAAAGAGAAAGAGAGAGAGAGAGAGAGAGAGAGAGTTAAAGAGAAAGAGAAAGAGAGAGAGAGAGAGAGAGAGAGAGAGAGAGAGAGAGAGAGAGAGAGAGAGAGAGAGAGAGAGAGAGAGAGAGAGAGAGAGAAAGAGAGAGAGAGAGAGAGCGAGAGACGGTATTTTCTTCTCCCCTTTTCCTTTTTCCTTCTCTTCCCCATCCCCTTCTGTCCATTTATCCAAATCGTCAACTCATTTTAACTCTTTTCTCCAAAATTTTGAAAACGCCACCAATAACCTTAGATGTTGACGCGGCTTAAAAAATTCAATAAATAATATTGTGTGCGCTTGTTTTTATGAGTGCGCGTGTGTAAAGTGTAAAGTTAAAAGTTTAAAAAAGGAGGATGAAAATACATTCGTATAATGCTGTGTACTTATGTACATACGTGTATACATACATGCATACATACACACATATATGTGAGCGCGTTTGCGCGCGTGTAGGTATACAGTCCATTGATACGGTTTACGAAACTGTAAGAAAAATACGAGAAGTAAACACAGGTAAAGGTTAAGTTGTGGAAGTGGCCGGTTCGTGTTGTGATATTCATCGGTTGAATTCATTTAAATTTCACCTACACATTCGTAAGCGATTTTTGATATATCATTTCGACACTTGCAAGAAGTGAGTTGAAACTCGGCAATTTTCAGAAATAAGGTTGAATTTTCAAATAAATGAATAGTTTTGTAGTCTTTTTTTTTTTTTCCTTGGCTTGCGAATGCATGGCGCGCGGGGCAGCAACAGGCAGCTGAACTTTCTGCCTCCGAGGTAACTTCTCAAGATGCTGAAGGGACTCTCATCACACTCGTGGCTCCCCGCGTGTTCGAAGTTCCTCCAAAGAGTTTCCAGCAGTGGGAAATCGCCTTTACCAAGCCGGAATATGAACGGCGCGCCCCCGAAGGACAGTTCGGCGGCGCCTCCAAATCGCCAAGCCGGAGGCGTCGTTTTTGGCATCGCTTGTGCCGGGTACACGACCTTTTTACTCGCGGTTACCGGTAGACTCATTTACAGCATCCGGAAGAGGAGAGAGGAAAAGCGGCGCCTCGCGATTCTGGAACACGTGGCGAAGGGCGGCGGCGACGTGCAATTGTTCTGGGTGCTGGCGCCGGGCAGGAAGGTGGGCACCTCGGTCCTGTGTGTGGAATGCCCTGGCAACGAAGTCAAGGTGTTTGACCTGGTCGTTGGGGGCTACCAAGAGAGGTCGTGGGGGAAGGGAAATAAACGCTGGACTGAGAGAAAGAGAAGTTATGAAAATGTGGCGATAGGTAGGCCTACATTGCAGACTGACATTTTGTTCGACTGACCTTTGGTTATTTGCATTTGGCAACATTAATTACTGCTATTGTTTTTGTTATCAGTGTTAGTATTATGGTTATCACTTATTCCGACAGTCATGTTAGTATACATTTGATTTTATGAAAGTTTAATTATATGAAAGATTAACGTGGAAAAACGTTCCACTCTCCAATTTGGTTAGCCCGGGGAGAACGTGTGATTGGATGCTTGTGCAGGGACACATTGCAGAAGGGATGTGTGTTTGCACGTCACTGTGTGTGTGTGCATGCGTGCGTGTGTGTGAGTATGTGTGATATAGGACTTTATTAACCCATTCGTATATTCACAAGTCATTTCAATCGTTTCCTGCATTTCTTCCACGCTGATACATGTCATTCAAACTCTGATTTGTTTCATTCATCGCCCAGCCTCTCCACCGCCTTCCCCACTTTCGGAATTCAGCTGATCTTTAATCGAATGCCTTTGCTCTCCCTTCCCTCGCAGCCGAGGAAGCGAGTGGAAGCGAAATTCCCCGGCGACGGAGGTCCTCAGCGCCTCCTCCCGCCGCGCGAGGAGTGGCGCCGGGTCCTCCTGCTGGGTCATCGGCCTCGAGGGAACTCAGGTCTTCCCTTTCCGGCGAGGAGGAAGGACGGCGACCCGGCTCCTCCAGGACCGCCGATTTGCCTCCTGAAGGAATGCCTGTTCCTGAAGGAGGCGGTGCAGGAGGACAGGAGTCTTTGAAGAAGGAAGCGCCTCCTGGCAAAAGTAAATCCTATTTGTTCTCATGTTTTATTCTTCGTCCTTTATTTATTTACCTTTATCATATCTTTCTTCGTCTTCTCCACATGATTTCATTCTGCGTGTCCTTCCTTTCGTTTTCCCTCACCTGTCTTTCTGTGTTTTTTCACCTATTTGTCCCTTTTGCTTTTCCATCGTCGTCTTCGACTTTCTCTTCATTTGGTTATTCTTATTCTCGGATTTTTTTTTCTTCTCATAAATCTTCCTTATTATGGATTTATCATCTCTTTTATTCGTTGACATCATATCCTTTTTTGTTCATCATTTTTTCCGTTTATTCTGTTTTGTTTCCTGTTATTTATTTCCGTTTAATTTCCATTCTTTACTACAAAGATATTTATTTTCCTTATTGTTTCTATCATCGTTATAGTTGTTGTTGTTGTTGTTGTTGTTGTTGTTATTATTATTATTATTATTATTATTATTATTATTATTATTATTATTATTATTATTATTATTATTATATTATTATTATTATTATCATCATCATCATCATCATTATTATTATTATTATTATTATTTAAATTCTTTTCTGCATTTATTCCACGCTGACACATGTCATTCAAGCTGATTTGTTTTATCATTATTATTATTATCATTACTAACATTATTGTCCTTATAATTGATATGGGTACTATTAGTATTATCATCATCCTCATCATTATAATATTTTCTTTCACCATGAATAAATCAAGTTTTTTTTCATTTAACTCGAAAAAATCGACGCGTTAACCCGAACCGCAACCTTTATTCCTTAAACAATATATTTTTTTTCTTTTTTCATCATCCAATTTTGGTTTAATTAATCGCATAAAGAAGTGGATGATGCTAAAATGACACGAAAATAGAATGATAAAGGCAGTCAGCGAGAGATCTGTAAAGAGGAAAAGGAAAAGGGAAAAGAGGAGAGATGGAGGAAGAATGCGAGAAGGAAGGCGATAAGCAAGAAAGAGTACGTAATAAAGGAGAGATTGACGATGTAAGATGATAAAAAAGGGAATAAGAGAGGAGGGAAAATCATGGGCAAAATGATAAATGAATAATGATAGAAACGTAACAAATAAAGAAAAGTGATAAGAAAGAAAGTAAGGAGAGGAAATAGTAAATGCGATAAAGAAAAGGAAAATAGAAAGAAAAGTAACAGGAAAGAAAGCAAAGAGAGCAACCAGTTACCGTGATAAAGAAAGGGGAAGCAAAGACATGGAGGATTTATTAAGGTCAAAGATGGAAGGAAAATACAGATATTGAAAGAAACAAAGAATAGTTGAACGAAAATATGACAGAGAAAGGAGAGTAAAGTAAGAAAGAAAGAAATGAGGATGAAACATAAAGGACAAGAACAACAACAGAAAAACAATAAATAAAATGAGCAAAGAAAGCCAAGGAAGCGAATCACAAGAAACTTTGGTAACAAAAGACATGAAAAATAATGAATAGAGAGAACAAAAAATGCTGATAAGGAGTAAAGGAAAAGAAGATGAGAAAGACGAAAGAGGAGAGAAGAAGAAAGAGGAAAGAAAGAAGAGGGAAGGGCGAAGAAAAAGAAGAGGACGAAGAAGGAAGGGCGAAGAAGAAGACAAAGAAGGAGGAGAGGAAGACAGAAGACAATGAGGAAGGAGAAAGAAAGAGAGAAACAAAACAGAGCAAGAATCTGTACAAGTTGCGCCTCGTTTCCCCGCGGGTTTCCCGAGAAGCAACAGGACGCGTTTCCCGCGATAGAGCCACGCGGCGCCCGAAGCAGAAGCCGACGGACCAGTCTCCCGTCGGCCCCCGCCTGCACCGGCCCGTCTGCGCCGTCAGCTCTGATAGCATATTCACTTTTTCTCTCTCTCTTCGTCTCTCCCGCGAATAAAGCAAGATGAAGGTAAAGATCACCGGAGAATCGAACGCGGAGGAATCATGCACGGGAGAGAAGCAGGTGGTCATCTCCATCCCCCCAG